ATAGTTAAACAGTTAAAATCATGTGACGTTCAATTCTTTTTTATATTTTATACTCAAATTATAATAAATGAATTTAATGTACATTAATAAAATAATTTGTAACGCGTTTATATGAAAAAACACCATTTTGTTTATCAAAAATTGAGAGAGAAAGAAAGACAAAGAGAAAATAAAATGTCAAATAATCATGCGCGACAGGATACACTTTTGTATTTCATTCGACTGACATATTAATTGCATACAGGTATAAGTAAATACTATAATTTCAGAAAATTCGTTTTTTCTCTCCTTTTCCTCCTCAGCTCTGAAAAATTAATAACGGAGTATTATCGTTTTTATTAGCCCATTATTCTTGTAATTTTAATTTTAATACCTCACGAGACATGTTTTTTTTTATCATACCGCGCGAAGAACCTGAATGTATCTATAATATCCAATATAAATTAATTTTAATTATAGACAATATTATTCTCAGGTACGTGCCTGTATTAAGCTAGTCTTGAGTAGAAATATTGTGTCCTTATTTAATAATAAATTAATAAGATAAAATAAGAAGCGAGACAAGAAGCTTTCATCTATAAGATAAAATGAGAGACTTGAAAAACCTTTGCAGATTAAGACATAATAAATGTGTAATCTCACCTTATAATAGTGATGTACAGTGAATATATAGCACGCATAAATTTAATTTTTTAATGTTTTATTGCGATACAATTTTTTTCTATATATATTTTTCAATTTACGAACGGTGATTGAATTATGGTATGTAATTCTTAGATTATACAGGGTGGGCCATCTATTGGTACGTTTTTGAATTTCGTCGTATGGCAACACCGAACGAGCTACAGACCCGAAATTTTGACAGTTTATTAGTCATACCGTCCGCGGCACGAAACAACATGTTTTCTCTTGAAGAGCGTTTTGAAATTTTAAAAACTTATTTTCAAAGTCAGTGCTGTGTCGCCGAAACTGTACGAATTTTGAAAAGAAATATGGGTCGTGATAGAGCACCCACCGAAGGAGCTATACGCAAATTGGTGAGGAAAGTTCGTGAGAAAGGGATGTTAGTGGATGACATTATATTACGACTGTTTTGAGTGAAATTGGCGCCGAGGTAGTCCAAAATGTCATTAATAATTGGGGTGACCGAATGGCATACTGTAAGGCCAGTAGAGGGAGCCACATGAACGAAATCGTTTTTCATTCTTGACGCGGATACTTTTAGCTTCACAACAAAAAAAAAATTAATAAAAAATATCAATGTATGCTCATTTGATCGCATTTTTAAAAACGTACCAATAGATGGCCCACCCTGTACTTTAATGTTATTATAATTTTGTTCATTATAATTAGATTTGAAATAAACTTGTAAAAACTTGGCATACCATGTAAAAATTAACGGCTTTCTTCTCGAAGGGAAAAAGAAAATAAAATGGAAAGATCACGTGTGGATATAAGATGAGTGGATCGCGGCATCATGTACACGACGATAAATTTATTTCGTCGTCCAAAGACGTACTTTATCGTTATTTGTAATCGAATATACACGTTCGTGGAAAAACCGCCACAAATCACATTCGTGAGACATCCACGAGAAAACGATCTTCTACCGTCTGACAAATAAATATAATAGCCGTGATACACTTTCCTGGAAAATGTACAATAATATCTCGGTAGTTTTCTCTGCAGTATCAAAATTTGCTTTCGTGAGAAGATGACGAAAAAAGATTTACTTTGTAAATAAACTCGTTTCACGTAAGATTAACCAGCATAATACTAGAGGTAACTCTTCGAAAATGAGCTGAAAATATTATCATCATATTCTGAACTGACAAAGACCTTTAAGGAAAAATGTAATTTATAACTACACATCGCATGAATGTATACATAACGCAAATTTAATCCATTTTCAATAACATAGTGAAATAAGTTCGTGCAAATAAATAATAGAATCAGAAGCTGTTCTTTAACTAATTTTAATTTCGGTTTAGATTTTGACATTTAGTGGTATAGTCAAATCATCATCAATTAAATAGTTAAACAGTTAAAACTATGTGACGTTCAATTCTTTTATATTTTATGGCCAAATTATAATAAATGAATTTAATGTATATTAATATTAATATCCTTAGATTAATATATACAGAAAATAATATACATTGAAAAAAATGACGTATCAACAACATGATTTTAATTGAAAATTGCTAATTCAATAACAGTATTAATAAAAGAAATACAATTTTATTAAAACAAGGGCGTGACATATTTGTTTTATTAATAGAGTTATAAATTGACAAAATTAAATTCATGCTGCTGATACAATTTTTTTTTCAATATTAAAATATTTTATTATTGACTGTTAAATATTACTTACATATATGTATATAACTGCAGGAGAGATGTATTTAGTACAAATTCCCCTAATCTCGCACATCATAATCTCTCGCGCCGAAAATCAGATCTAATTAGATTTAAACACCAAACTAATATATATCTTCAAACATTATACCGGAACGTTTCAATATTATGCTGTCATTCCGCGAATCGGTGCAGTGGCGGCGGGCCGACTGAAAGGGTTAAGGTTACGCTTAACCGTGAACTGTGAATTATGGTTGTCAGCCGGGATGCGAGGAAGGAATTCGCTATCAGCCAGGTGAAATACGCGCACGGAGATGGAGACCGTGTTCACTAATTCATGGAGCGGTAGTAACCGTTGCTTCATATTTTGCATTCCATGAAAATGTATTCGTCTGTTTGAGCAGCCCAAAATGCGGCGCGGGTGCATTGAAGCATTTGCCGTATTTGCGTGCACGTACACGGCACGTACACATACATTCATACATTCATGCGCGCGCGCGCGAGCATGCACACACTGACGCGACAGACCGAGCACAATATAAACATACGCAACCGTACGCTTTGTACGTGCACGGTTAGCCGAGATTTCACGTATATATGGCACACGTCGGCTTTCTAGCCAATCCTACGCGATCAAACGCCGTCGCGCTTTATCGAGCTTCCGCCAATCCGCGGGATGCGCGAGCAAATTGATTATGCACACAAATCGCCGTGATATGCGTGTGAAGGTCTCTCTCCCCCCCCCCCTCTCCCTTTCTCTCGCCCCTCATCATTCACTCATTGCCGCTCTGAAGAGGAAATACCCGTATTTTGGTCTGATACGCGTTACGGATGCTCGCACCTTCGCTTTCTCTGTTTTTCTGCGAGATAAGAGCCCATTCATCAATCCTTGATAGCAAAAAAAGGGAGTCCGACGTGAGAAAGTAATTAGTACGAAACTACGTACGTTGCAATGTCCTCTGGAAATTTAACAAGCGTGTCTTTGGATGAGCTACGTGAAAAAAATATGTTCGAAAATTTGTTCACGATTACCATAAATTTCCTGGGATAATATTTTAGCAATTTCGGTCGTAATAAAACGCGTGATAATTGTCACAGGCCATTAAATGAATTGAATTACAAGATATTACGTTGCAACGTAGTTACGAGTATTTAATAATTATATGTGTGTATGGACAGTTTTCAATTTTTTCATGATTCTTTTATCAGAAAATAAATGTGATAATAGTTATCGTAAATTATCAGATATCAGATTGAGATATCTCCGCATATTTTTCATATAATTCTTATTTATCAAAGAAAGATGGAAAAAATCAAAAATAAATATTTTTCAAATACAAATATGATTGCTTAATAAATAAAATTAAGATGAGAGATGATTAAGCTTTTTTAAATCTTTTTTTTAGAATTATTCACTTTTTTATCAATATTAAAGCTTCGCTTTTATGATTAAAAGAAAATTAATTTTGAAATTTTTGAAATAACCTCCTCATATCACGTATGTTAATGTGCAGTATTAATATTAATTACTTTATATCAAAATATGAATTCAGCGTAGGACGTACGGTATTTCTTTGTTTTAAAAGTCGAACAATGAGAAATATTCATGATCAATTAATGACATTTTACAGACATATTAGCTGGCATTTCACAAGAATACTTGTCATAATTTTACATAATATGTGTATTATAATTTTACGATTATAAATCAATTACTTAAAAAGTCGTCGAATTATTACATTTTGTTAATCACGAAATTTAATGAAATTACAAATGGTATTGTTTTATATTTTTGTCATTTCTGACAAATAATCGCCATTTAAAAAAAAAAAGAAAAAAGGAGATGCGGAAAAATATTTCGTTAAACAACATATTTCTTGTAAAACAATTAATTATAAACGCGTAACAACTTGAAATTAAAATGTGAATGACCGATTATTCGATAATTATTTTACATACTAAATGAGAAAGCAATTAACCTAAACTCGAGTGCAGTAAATTGAACAAAATCGCTGTGATAAAATTATTCGAGAGACAGGAAATTTGTATTTTAATAGATTTGTATAGCCAAAGCGAATGTCGATAACAAGAAAAAAAAAATACCGATCTCTATAATCCATTGCATCGTTCTTCGATGCTGATATATTTTTGGTCGATTTCCGTGTGTCGCCTAGAAAGCGTCCCGACACGAAGAAAAACCGCGCCAAGTTAAAATTATAACCCAAGCAATCGATTGACAATAACCTTGCACAAGCTAGAGCCATAATTAACACGAACACATTAAAGAAGTGATAATTAGCTAGACATTATATTCCTTTTTAATGTACATTTCAATTATTGTCCTACGAAGGCAGTTATTTATACATTATACGTTAATGCGGACACGCATTAGCGGTCAGCGCGCGTTCGGCATCCAATGGATTTTTTTCCTACTCGAAATTCCGCCGTGAATCGCGGCGCAAAAAGCGGCGTTCGTTAGGCAAATCGCCACGGGGAACATCACCCACGCTCTTTACCTCTCGTACCTTGCACGAGATCAATTCCACCTCCCGTCGCGAGCAAAAATTAATACACCCGAGAAATACTCCGGGCGCGCGAAAGGCAGGCGAGAGATTTAGCATAAAGCGTACCTCATAACTTACCTCCGTCAGACGAAAATTCTGTCGCTGTCCGCGATGATCCTCAATCGATGACTCGTAGCGCTCGGCGCGAGTGGTACTTGCCGAACTTCCACCCCTCGAGCCTTCGAAGCCAGAAGAGAAAAGAAAGAGAAAAGCGGAGGTTCTCCACGGACGACCTTGACTCCGGAATTGACTTGCAGCAACGGAGGATGACGACGGACGCGGTCACGTTACGGTTTTTCTACGCAATTTACGCACCGTCCGCCGTCGTTCGGCTCCTCGGCTCGGTGCGTACGCGCCCGCGGTATGACCATAACGGTGCTATGACGCGGGAGGGCGCGATCGCGTCGACGGGCACAGGTGGTTGCCCGACGAGGAAGTCCCGCGTCCGACAGGGGCGAGTGGAGGGGAGCGGTACGTTTCGCGAGGAAGCCGTGCGCGCGAGGTGTCCCAGCTCTTTTTCTCTAATCAGCGGGAAAAATTGCGCGAAAAACCGCGGCAAAACTATGAGGTTTCGCTGCGTCACGGGCACGTCGCGGGCGCGACGCTGATCTCCCACGAAACACGACCGTTGCAATTAACTTGGTAATAACGACAGCTCGATCGACTAGCCGGGACGAGAGCCGTCGCGCGACTGAAACACCTCTCTCTGCACTCTTGCAGCATCCCTATCCCGTTATTCCCGCTCGCGCCCGCCCGACCGCCTGTTCGCCCCGCGGTACATCCGCACCCTCTGCCATACCCCGACGCGAGACTCCCTTTCAGCCTCTTCCAACCCCCGGTGTCCGTGATGGTATCCTCCCGCCTCTCCTCCTAGTTTACCTTCTTCCTCTACCGCTGTTCTCCCTTTCCACGTCACTCCACCACGTCGCCTCGCTCCCCCTCTTCTCCTACTTTTCTTTTTCTTTTTCTCGTGCACGCCGTGTTCTGCAATTTTAGTAGATTGGCTCTAGTCTCTACTCTAGTCTCTTATGAGCGATTACGGATTTTTAAGTATTCTATAATGTTGGTATTATCGAGGTATGGTATATACTATTTTCGATAATTGGCGTTCGTGATTTTTATTTGGGTTCTGCCTACTCGCAATATTATTCGAGATACCGATATCCGAAAGTCAATATCGAATGAAAGATACTGGCGCACTCGGAGCATCGTTGTATTATGTAAAATTTGAAAATAATTCCTTGCGGGGGATAATTTTAGAATAACCTTTGTGTTTTCATGATTCACGCGCAGTATTGTTTATTATATCGATTTTCATTAATTCGTTATTTATCTCTTCTTCTGAATGTCGCAAATGAGTCGCAATGTCGTGATGAGAATACAAAGTGCGATCTTTTTTATTACCGATACAATAGTAATATCAATCATTCTTTAAATGTTAATTTATTGCCAGTTTATGCAGAGTTGGAAAATTACTTCATAAAAATGACGGATCACCCTTATTCGGTATTAATTTTAAAAAGTAACGCATTACCATAATTTTCTACTTACTTTTTTTTTGTTCTTTTTATGATATTAAGATGAGATATTAGATTAAAAAATTACGTTATTTAATAATCAATATTAAATGTAACAATCAAAATTAAATTTAGTAAAGTTAAGCTTGAAATATTAAAACTCTAAACTCTAAGTCTCTATACAAAAAGTTTTCCTTTATATCAAACTTATCTAATAAACTTAAAATCCTCTATAATTCTTTATATTAACATTTTTATTTTTTTATATATGTTTACTTTCAGGAATTTAAATTGTAATTCACAAACGCGTAGATTTTATTAAAAGTTTTTATTAAACATTGATTCTAAACATTAATGTTATTATTAAAAAACGTGCGTTCTAGTAAAATAATGCTATTTATCGAATAAATATAAAGGCAATAAAGGATTAAAGTAACGATAAAAGCGTTACAAGTAATTCGTTGTCTCCCAACCCTGCTTACTGCCAGGTCGAAGGCAATTTGAATGACTGAAGGCCGTTCGTCCCTGTATTAAATTATAAAGTAAGAATGCGGTTACGGGAAAATTGGATTCGAAGATAAATTGAGGCAAGTTCGAAAACTCGTCTCAAAGGAAAGTATGGTGATTAGATGTAACGCTAACTATCCCTCGGCGAGACTTAGACACGGATTGCGCCAACAGTAGGAATTAGTTCACGACCTGGCTTAACAATTCGGTCCTTCCTTAGCTGATGATCCCTGCCTACGATATAGACAGAGATGGAAAATCGGATTAGATTATCGACGTTGGTTCGAGCCGGCTTTAGAAAAGAGTAGGTCGATATGTGAGTGTTGGGAAGTTGGAGTCGATCTTCTCAACTTAAAGTACAGGATACTTCAATTCCGCGATTCTAGTTCAGTCATCATTTCCTAAGAACTATGATTATTAATTGCAACTCTAACTAGCCTCTAACGAGCGTGAGAATTAGACCGAGAGTTATATCAACAGTAGGATTTTATGCACGATTCGGTTTAATAATTCACTGTTTCTCTCTGTGATCCTATCCCGTGATACAGACGAAGATGGAAAATTGAAATTAATTTACCAATATTTGTTCAAGTGAGCCTTAGGGAACGAATGGAAGTGCGAGCGTATAGTAGAGATGAAAAAAAAAACAGATTTTTTTTTTTACTTCAGAATGAAAAACTAGTTTTTTAAAATAAAAAAAAGTCTTTTTCATAAAATCCTAAAAGAAGATACAGAACTTGTTAAAACACACGTTTAAGGGCTACGTTATTTCAATATTATTTAATATCTTTTCCTTTCATAATTTAAAATATTGAGGAAGAATCGTCTTTTTTTTACGTCGTTGCAGTATTTAATATATTGATAAAGCCTTGGAAACTAAATCTATGCGTATCCATCCCATCGCCAATTAATCATACTATATTTTAATTGTTTATAGTTATTTTTAAACAAAAATTTCTTTTGGATAAATTTCTTTTGGAAAAACAGAGTTTTAATACAATATTATAGCATCAAATGTCCAAGGAAAATACATATTCTAATATAAAAAATTGTTAGGAGTAAAAAACTGGTTTTTAGTGGATCTTTTTTGCTAAAAATTTCTACCTTCTTCGATGATTTTTATCTGTAATGTATATAAGGAAGTAGAGATAGGAGAGAAAAGTCGGAACTTTCTAATTTAAAATACAGGATTCTTTTATCCTGCTATTCTACACTTCATTCGTCGTTTCCAAGGAAACATGATAATTAGATGCAACGCTAATTACACCCTAGTGAACACGAGAGTTAGATCGAATTACGTCAACAGTAGGAATTAGTTTAGGACACTGCTTAACAATTCGCTCTTTCATCTACGTTATAGACGTAGATGGAAAATCGAGTAAACTTATCAGTATTTGTTCAAATGGCTCTTAGAGAACGGGTGGAAATGCGAGTGCATAAAGAAGTTAGGAATCAGACTACCTAATTCAAAATACAGAATTCTTTTATTCCACGTTTTTACACTTCAATCGCCATTTCCAAGGAAATATGATGATTAGATACAACGTTAACTATACCCTAGCGAGAGCGCAAGAGTTAAACTGAGAATTGCGCCGACAGTATGGATTAATTCACGACCAGGCTTAACAATTCACTGCCCTCTAGGCCATGATCCTGCATATGATATATGTAGACGCACATGGAAAATCGGATTATATTATCGACGTTGGTTCGGGCGGTTTCAAAATGTGAGGTGAGCTTTCTAACTTAAAATACAGAATTCTTCCTCTCCGCAATTTTACTCACTATTTCCAGATTGTCCATCTGTTTGTTTATATAATAATGGCCAAATTACTTTGTCAATTTATGCACATAGGATCTGCGCGAAAATGGAGTTTATCGAAATTTTATATTCTGCACGAGTGCTCTCTCTCTCTCTCTCTCTCTCTCTCTCTCTCTCTCGTCTTTTCCAGAAAGTAATGATAAAATCTTAAGTTCTCTTTTTATCGCCTGTCCGATTTAACGGAGTATTATAGAATTTATTTTCTCTAATATTGACGATGCGTTAGTCCATTAAGATCGTGCGAATGGTTCGCGAAAAGCAAACGCTCTTTTCCTTTTTCAAACTCTTTTCTTTTCTTTCCGTATAAAACTCAGTGGAACGCAAGTGCACTTTCTTGCACTCACCACGCGGTGTCAATCCAACTGCCGATTTCCATTCCGCGTTGCGATAAATTCATGCTCCTCACGGATCCGTCTGCAAATAGCAATTCCGATACCGATACCGGATGGCGACATCGTCCAAAAAGACTTGCAAAAGTAACGGGCACTTTATATGTCAAAGATATTTGCAACGTAATTTTTCCATTTAAATTCTTCTCTCTCAAAGTTCACCTCATAATTTCGGGGAACCGCGAGTTATACGACGACGACGACGACGACGACAATTGCAAATTTTAATTTTATTTATGTGTTTACCTGCACGAGTCTCTCCGAGAGTTTCCTTCTTTTACGTTACTTCCTTTTAACAACTGTTTTTATTAGTACTTACCAGTGATAACAGGCTGCTGCACTTCCCGACTACTAGGGCAGATATCACCTGCAAACTTTTCCCTTGTGCCTTGCGACGTGACTAAACCCTTAAAAATACTCCGTATGCCTGCCCAGGTAAAAAAGTGAGAGAACTTTTTCGTCGTATGTGTACTTAACGCGCAAATGTACGTTCTATCCCGATCGTGTCAAAAAAAGTTACGCGGACGCGATCGATTCTTAAACGGCCAATAATCCTTTTTGCTCGTGTCGCGATGCATTGTTTAGCCATATCGCGTGTGTAGTGTATTCAATAACTTACCGAGATATCGTTTCTGGACACTGAACGGTAGACGCCGATCGATCCCATTTTGCAAGCATCGGACGCAAATATTATGGACTTTCTACAATAAACTAAGTCTTAAGCCGTAAGAAATTGATCAATCATAGTCGATTATCTTCTCACATATGACTGTGATCGATCCTTTTATTACAATTTAAGACTTAAAGCTTAGATAATTTATGTAGAAAGCCTATTAAATTTTATCATGATCTCTAGACTGTAATGAACGCGATATAATTAACCTGATTAACAGAGATGGTTTTCTTACCGACAAAAAGTTATAATGACATCATTCCTTACAGAAATGTAAGGCTCTCGCACACAAGAATCCACGTAGAACACAGAGTCATTATAAAATCATAATATCACAGGACGTTATCATGACGTCATTTGATACTTAAACACATTACGTTACCCTAAGTAACTGAATCGTAAACTGAAGCCTGTAAGACATAATAGTAAACTTACATCACGCACAAATTATAACATAATGTTTAACGTTACGTTATAATTTTGTTTGTATGATGATAAAAGTTTAGTATTACGTACAAGCTACAGTTACGATCAATACTCAACGTAACATAACGCATTACAGACGTTCTTGTTCGAATAATCTAATATTGGTCAATTTAATAGTAAAAGACAATAATTAATTATTTATTTTAAATATTGAAATTATTCTTGTGCAGTATGCTTTTAGTACTCCATATAAGTAATTAATTACTATTTTTTAGTATTAAATTGGCCAGTATTAGATTTCTATAAGGGAAAGTGGCGTCAAAATAGCTCCAAAATAATTA